AATATCACGTACTCTTTTCTGCCTGCGAATCAACATCATTGATACAACCAATGGATCATTCGGTCATTAACACATTCAAAAGAAGATACAGGAGAAAATTTATTCAAAACCTAGTTATGGAAGAGTAATATTCTTTGCCAGAATGCTGGAAAGCATACAATTTAAAACACGCAGTCGACAATGCTGTGGATGCTTGGGCTGATGTTTCGGAAGTAACGCTGAAAAGAGCCTGGAATAAATTATGGGCCTGAATCAACTTAAGATGAAAATGCTCCCTTAAATGAAGTTATGGCTGAATCAACTGTTTTGTTTTCGTTGCCTAAAGATGACATAAACGAATGGTTAATTTGTGATGAGGACGCAAACGGCTATCGATTGCTGACAGACGATGAAATCGTTGAAATGGCAACAGAGGCGGACGAAACTGATTCAGAAGCCGACTTTGATGGTGGCGATGTTGATGATGCTATTACAACTCACAAAGATTTGCGTAAAGAAGCTAGAGGAGTTGCATCGCACATACAACAATTCATCAAGTGGTATTCTCGGCAAGAAGAAGCAAATAAGGTAGATTTAATGATTTTACGTCGATTAAGAAATTCAGCCGTTGCAAAATGTGAAGTAACAATAAAACAAACAAAGATTTCGGAATAATTTAAATCAAATTGATTCGACTGTACTAACATAAATCTCTCTTATATTGTCAAATAAAACATACAAATAAAATTTGAGAGTTATACTATGAATTTTTTTTAATGTTCTGTTAACCGTCTTTTCGATTATCCGTCATACCCTTGGTCCATGCTGACGGATAATCGAGGTTCCACTGTAATAAAATTACTTTATTTAATTTTAAATATTCTCTTCCCTTGTGATAAGTTACTCCATCCTTGGTCAACTACATAAGAATGTAATAATACGCATTACAATAATATCATAGTTTAATATTTGTGTCATATATACATTTTGGTAGAAAATTTCCATTAAAAATTGTCACGATCGGTACCCACTGTATTTTATCATGGAATAATTTTTTCTTTGTTGTGACTTTTTGCAACAGTTTTCACTAAAAGCGTCTAAGTTAAGACTTCTTTTTGTAGAACTGTATCAGCACCAACTCGTAGGTTACTATTGCTCCAGCCATCTGCAAAAATCAGTAAGCATATTAATGTCTAAATTACTACTTTAAGACTTATCTAGGTGCAGATGTTCACTCTACTGGTCTGAGGTGTAAAAGTAACACAAAAAACCACAATTAGTACAGCAGAAATTAAAAAAAATGTATACCTAATAGCTTAAGGACAATCTTTTTTTATTTGCAAGAAAAACCAGGTTCTTTTTTACCTGCAACATCAATCCTCGATATATACTAAAAAAATTTTTGCCAGAAAGTGACAGTTCGCATGTAGATACATGTGTCATCAGTCTTTCAACCTGAAACATGGATTGTGTAATTAAAAATGAGCATTTATGCATATTATTTATTATGCGTGAGTACCGTCGAACGGGGTAAAAACAATCACATTAGGTTAAACCGATCGCTAAGGGTTTTTTGCCTAATATTTTCAGGATTAATAGTATATGTGAATTTACCGCCAAACAAGCGTTCGTATCTGTCCGAGGATATGCCAGTCACCATAGTGAGCTCAAAGTAACAGGTTGAAAGTGTCGTGTGGCTGCAGTGTAGACTAGTACACAAAACGTCGTATTCAAAACTTGAAAAAAACCTCAAATTTTGGTCAGTTTTACCTCGTTCGACGGTATCTAACTGTGTTTGTCAGATAGACCAGCAATTCTCTCACTGTGAATGATCTATAATACACCATATACATATAGCCTTCAACAATACGTATAATACAAACGGAATAATATCAGAATGTGCAAAACTTATTTAAGCTTTTAATCCCTGAATCATATTACCAATGTGTGTGTGTGTAGAGGGAAGGGATGGCCTTAGACATAGTCTATTAGCCACAGTATTCATATTACCGATAATAACGATGAATGGAAATATATAGGTCTGGACTTACTTTCACAATAACTTTTAAGAACGTAATTGTATAGTATAGATGATCATTTACTAAAAAAAAACTTAGCCTGTAGTAGATTGAGTTATGTGTGCTTATTGTAGTGAAAATTCTTTAATTAAAGACATTACGTAGGTAGATACTTTTAAAATGTAGCATCCTTGGGAGAACAATAATTCCGAGCATAAGCAAATTGTTTAAATTTCGATGCAACCCCATTTTACTCACCAGGCATGTTTGTAGCTTCCTCAAAGGAATCAGCAGTACCATTTTTGATCAAGATAAGAGCCATGGGTGTCATTTTCTAGCTATGTGCGCTGATCTTTGATTATCTGATACCTGATACGAGTTGTATTTTGCAAAAATATTATGCTCAATTGATCTTTGCACCAATAAATCAATCAAACGGCGAAATCGGAAGCAAGTGAATAATTTTTTAGGGAAATGGTAGCTACGTCATCTTTGGGTAAAGGTTTAAAAATTTTTTTTGACACAGGCAAAAGGTGCAACGAGCCGGATGGCCGGCGAGACAGTCCGTTCGTGGAAGTGTGGTGAATAAATTTGTATCCACTGGTTCAGAAACCAATCCCAGTACGTCGACAAAATGCAAGAGTAGACGAATTAGGCTTTTCACAGACCACACTTTTACATAGATCAAGTAAATAATTTAATAATAAATCTTTGAGTGACTAAAAGTTCTTACCTCCGCATTGTACGCAGACGTACTGACGGTACTCAAATGGAATTTAATATTTTTCCATTCCTCGTAAACTGCTCCTCCATATATACACATACAAAATATCCTCAACAGCAGTAGTCCAAATGACAAAAAGAAGTATACTTTTTCTATAACGCTATCCATGTTTCGCAAACTACCGTATAATTGAACTAAAACGAAGTATAGGTCCATCAGGAAACAAACTATTATAATTCCTGATAGTTTTTCGTTGACGATGAAACAGAGCTCTGAAATGCGGATGTAATCTTTTCTAAGAGTTTTCCAAACGACCATGTCATTCACCTAAAAGAGATCAGTCAAAGAATAAATCACCTAAACATGAAGATATCTACAAGAAATAAGATCTTTAACAGTATGAATGAAGAATAAAATTAAAAACTACTAAATTAAAATTATCAATAGTATATAGTTATCGAAAAATAATCGTTATTCATATAGGCCATGGATAGACCAGAAAGAATAAGAAATTTTTGATAATGTGTTAAGACTTTAACAATTTTATCAAACTTACCCTAATTTTTGTTGTCTCCTTTATTTTCTGTGATAACTGTTTTAGTCTGTAGGTCAATGCTGAACCCATAAGCATCACAAAAACATCAGTGTAGCTCCAATAAAACGTCCTTTGTAAATTTAGAAACTATAAAAGTTAGAAACTTTAAATTTTATAGCAATAGCAATTCTAAATGTAAACCTAACTGGAAAAATCCATCAGATAAATGTTACAAATATTTTAAATTTTAGAATTATATGATAGGATTTGACAGATCTATTCTTGTGCTGTTTTACCATCCAAAATCATCATATTATTTGTAGTAGTAACTCCTGCTTTAAATAAATATATTGTAAACTCTGCACTAATTTCTTGTGCTAAGCTTTAAACATATTTCCTATAAGATATCTTCACTGTTTTTGTTTTGTTCAATTTTTTTCATTATTATCATCAATGGTACTATAGCCCTATAATAGAGCTTCGATCTTTCACAGCTATTTCGCCAGTCAGCCCTATTCGATGCCAAACGTTACCAGTTTGTTATATCTATTTTTCTAGCATCTTCATCTGCAGCAATTTTTGATCTTTTTGCCTACCTCTCCGTTTACTTCCCACTGACCGTGATATAAGAATTCGTCTAGTAAGATTATTCTAGTGTGATCTAGCTAGATGTCGTGCTCATATTGTATGTAGAGCGTTAACAGGCCTTTTACCCATTGCTGGATGGATAATTTCCATCGTTTTCAGTTCTTAGCTATCAGTTTCCAATCTCTGATTTCCATCTCTCTGACATCTTTAATCACTACATCTCTTCATTTTTTTCTTGGTTTTCCTATCTTTTTTTCCCCTCAGATACTCTCCAAACAATATTCTTGACTAGTCTATTACCTTCCATTCTCACTACTTTTGTTATTGTACGGTTAACATAAATTGGGTATCTGATCAACAGAGGTACCTAAATACCTACATATATTTATCCACCTTCTCAATTTCTACAACTGATCTATCTTCCACCTCCAATTTAAAGGAGACTCTGGTGTTTATTATTTTTTGCTCGAGATTTCCATGTACTTAAATTTATTAATGTTAACTTTTAGACCCATTTTAGCGCTTTCCAGAATCAGTCTTTTGCTATACTTGCCAGTTCTTTTCCATTTCTTGCAATGAGAACCACATCAATAGCGTATTCTAACCATTGCTGCTCTTTGTATAAAATAGTGCCGGACCTATTTATCCCAATAACTCTTATAATTTTTTCTAGAACAATATTGAATTAGCCAGGTAGACAACAGATCTCCTTGGCGAACACCTTTTCACTTCAGAATTCTTCTGAGACTGTACCGTTGCATTTCACAGCACAAACGGTTTGTCTAATTGTCAGTTTTACCAATCTTATTATTTTTTCTGGCACTTGGAATTCGATTAGCGTTTCTATTAATTTGTTTCTGTCTATTGTATCGTAGGCAGCTTAGTAATCAATAAAAAGTACTTGTGCTGAAATGTTGTATTCATAGCAATTGATCAGGATTTGTTTTAGCACAAAATTTGATCGGATGATCTTCCCTTGCAAAATCCTTCCTGGTATCCTCCTAGATTCTTCTCTACATATATGTCTAATCGTTTTTACTTAGTATGGAGAGCACTTTATATATTACCTCTAACAAGGATATCCTCTATAGCTCACGCATTCAGTTCTATCTCCCTTTTTGTGTATAGGAATTATAATGGACTTGTTCCATTCTTAAGACATTTTTTCGGCATCCAACACGTCTAGTATTAGCTCACTAAGTTGGTTTATTAAAGCCTCTCGTCCATATTTTAAGTTCTATGCCACAATGCCGCTTTCCCCGGGGCTTTTTTGGTTTTCATATCTTTTATTCTTTCTTCAATTTCTTCTCTTGTGGGCTTTGTATTTCCTCTATTACTATTTGAGGTTTAGGAAAATTATAATTTTCTTCAGTAGTTGTTTGGGAAAGTATGTGCGAATTCATTTCATATTTTTACAGTTAATATTTTTTCTGTTACGGTACTGTAATGTGATCTAATTTGGTGCTGTATTTTAAAGACCTTTTGAAATATATTGTTTCCTGTTGTCTCGTAAAACTTAAACTGGATATCTCATTTATGATGTTGTGAATACGGAGAATTTGGCTTCTCTTTTGTATGGTTCAAAAATATACACACAAGTGTAAAGTGTCGTGTTACCGTCACAATTAGCTAAAATTATCGGAAAGGTCGCAATACAATGGAATGATTTATTGGTACACCCTCTCGGACCACCGCTTAGAGGGTTCCATCTTAGCTCTGACCATATCAACGCATTGGCACTTCTTCGTAAGACAGTGAACTAAACGCTCCTCCATAGACCGGTCTCGTGTTAATTAGCCTCGGCGCCCAGGCCGCGGCGTCGTGATGCTCAGCGACCAATCTTCAGCCTGTTACGAATTCATCAATAGAACCAAAGGGTAAGTCTGTTCTTTGTACAAAACAACAATAATGAGTAAACCAGTTGATTTCATAACTTATTCACAATTTATAGTTGCTATTTTCGCTAATTTTATGTACAAACAAATATTGCATTTTTCGTTATAATTATTTATCTGATATAATTTAACCAGCGACCTCTCAAGTTTAATCCTAAACAGTAGTCATTCCGTTATTTAGCATCTCTTCGAAATATTCTTTCCACCTTTCACAAATTTGGTCTTCGTCCACTAACAGGTTTCCTTGCTTATCTTTTACATTCATCGTTCTTCTCTGATACCCAGTTTTTATGTATTTTACCTCTTTGTAAAAATTTCATTTTTCTTGCAATTTTCTATAATACGATTTTCTTTATCATCCATATACTTTCTTTTCCGCGCCCTTAGGATTTTCTTTACTTTTTGCGTTGTATAGCTCATATTAGTCTTACTGTTCTCTCGCAAAGACACCAGGAGCTTTTTTTTTCACCAGAAGCACTTTTGTTTGGTTTATTTAAAATTATTTAAATACAGTTCTATCTACTTACTTGTATAAGGCTTCCTAACCAAAATGAATATCCTATAACATGAAAAATATGTTCATAAGCATAAGTAAAAAAAGTCTGAAATGCCTCTCTAGCTGTTGGTTCCTTGTCAAAACAATCTTTTAATTTATAAGCATTGACCAAACCATGTTCCACTAAAATTAAGTTAAGTTAAACTAAATATTTTTAAAATAATGTCACGTGTTTAAAAATAAAAACGTTGATGGTGGTTTTAAAGACACGAAACGTTTTTAAACAATTTAAATACCAATGTTTTACTGTCTTACTTACCTCCTGCAATAAACATAATACTACTAGCCAAACAGGCCACTTTTAACTTCAAATTTTCTATTATTTCGTAGTTTCTCATGTGTAACTCCACTTTGCTCCATTCCTTTATAAATTTAGACCAACAGTAGGTCAGTTTGAAGAATAATATGTACTGTACGACAGCTCCTAGGTGAAAAACAACGACTTCTGAAAAAGAAATAGGTGAACAAACAAAATATCTACGAAGATAACTCAACTGTTTAAAAGCGATGAAAAATTATCCAAAGTGATTAAAGTGTGGTGAATGACAAAGCAACTCGAGTAGGTTTACGTAGAGGACAGGAATTTTTTAACAATTTTTTGCCTTGGATAAGACCTGAAGAGTTGTTTTAACTCTAGAACTAATCTAGGACTTGAGGATGCAACGTTTTTAACAAGGACCTTGACTTAAGTACGTTTATGTAGAAGACAGAATTTTCTAACAATTTTTTGCATCGTGGCAACATTTTATTCAATAATGAATTACACGAACTAAGGAAGAAATTTTATGAATACGAACTTATGTAAATTACTTCCCTAACCATTTCTTTAATAATTAGTCATGGAAAATATGAAAATAAGATAACAGTAGACTATTTGATTACTTAAATAAAATTGTGACTTCACTTACTTATGTCTATTATCGTTAGTTTGTTTTTAAATGCCTCAACAACGACAAAAATGAATTCTGTTACGAAGAGTAGGAAAGATACACATGAATAACCCATTCTCCAGTATAGCCATTTAAATTTCAACGGTTCGTCTTGTTTTCCGATGTATATAGGGAAATAACTGCAAATAAAATTACCAATGTATTAGTATAATCTACAATTTGTGAAATTTGGTAAAATAATTAGCACTAGAAGCTTAAAAGTAAGAAATTTCTTATTAAAGGTATTTTTCTTAAGAAAATTTTGACTAAGCAATAAAGTTGATGGAAAAATATATAAATTATATCTTTCTAGGTTTTCCATCGCTTCACTTAGTTTCCTTTTTGGCACTGTACAAACAAACAACAGTCAACAACAACAAACAATCAAACAAACAAACACAAGAACCACAAACGTATAAAAAATCGAAAAACAAACAAACAAACATTTTAACAAACAAATAAATAAACAATAAACAAAAAATCAAACCAACAAACAAAGCAAATACTCAAACCAAAATTGTAAAAAGAAACGAACAACAAACAAACAATCAACGAAACAAGCAAAACAAACAAATAAAACAAACAAATAAATAGAAAAACAAACAAACAACAAAAGAATAATCAATCAAACAAACAAACAAAACAAACAAACGATCCACAAATATATAAAAAACGAACAACAAACAAACAAATAAAAAAAACAAAACAAAAAAACAAACAATCAACGTAACAAGCAAAACAAACAAACAAAATAAACACACCAACTACAAATATTTCATCATCATTATTGGTGCTACAACTCTATAAAAGAGCCTAGACCTTCCCAAGTCTATTACGTCAGTCAATTCTATCCATTACCAACTGTTGCCAGTTTGCTGCGCCTATTTTTCTACCATCCTCATCTACACCATCCCTCTCTCTGAGTTTTGGCCTACCCCTACTTCTACTTCCCACAGGTTGTGACATAAGGATTCTTCTAGGAGGTTGTTCTGCTGTAATCTTGCCAGATGTCCTGCCTATCTTAGTCTTCCTGTTTTTATAAGAGATACTACGTGTTTACCACCAAATATATGTTTATATCTGTGATATATCTCGTAGTTGTACCTCCTTCTCCAAATACCATTTTCACAGATGCCACCGAATATTCTTCTCAGGATTCTTCGTTCAAATATAAGCAGGAGGTTTTCATATACTACAATACAATAGTTCACTAGAAATATTTACAGAAACGAATAATAAACAAACAAACAAATAAGAAACAAACAAACAACAAACAATCTAACAAACAACCAAAAAACAAGTGAAAAATTTAACAAAAACAACAAAAAAAATCAATCAAACAAAAACAAACAAAATAGACACAGGAACCACAAATATATAAAAATAACGAATAACAAACAAACAGATAAATAAAGAACAAACAAGATAAACACACGAACGACAAATCTATAAAGAAACGAACAACAAACAAACATTCTAGAAAACAAACAAAGAAACAAATATTTAAAAAATGTAAATAAATACCCAAAAAAATTTAACAAGTAAACAGGACTTAATAAATGTCTAAAATTTTACAGGATTGCACTAAAACTTGTCTGGTCTTATTATGATACAAATTTTTACAAATTTATTATGAAAAATATTAAATACATATAATACTTATACTCGGCAAAATTCATTTTGGTCAATATGACACTTACCTGAATATTTGTGCTAGTCTTATAGGAAACTTTATGGTTTCAGCGAAAGTATTGGAATTTACACTGCTCTTTAACAACAACTGCGATGACGATGGTTCAAAAGATTTAAATAGTTGCATTGTATTCTAAAAAAAAGTGTTCATAATTTTTATTAATAATTATATTCGCTGTCTAGAATCCTCATTTATAGAGGAATATTTATCGATATATAGTAATATGTATTGACCATGATGGGTACTAGATCCACCTGGTGGCGGATAGGGTGTCTACCAAATAGATGTGGTACCAAGAACACCGAGAAGCACCCAGAAGCACATGGAAACAGGAAGCACCATTTTCATTACTGTATTAAGTTATAGAAGAATTCTTCGGAGCTGTCTAATATAGACATTTTTAAGCGACAATTTCCATATTAGATGTGGTTTAATTGTGTATTGTTTCCCATGGCGGATCTTGAGTTTCGCAGCTCATGATCAGTAATAATATTCGTTTTACTAATCGATGCCATGACTACAAAGCAACCTATGACTCTGTGAATAGAAGAGAAATGTTTAAAGCAATGAAAGAGCTAGGAATACCAAAACAGTTGGTAAATTTAACAAAACTAACTCTTGAAAAAATTGAATGTAGGGTACGAATTTGGGGGGAACTGTCCGAACTTTTTAAAACAAATAACGGGCTACTCAATGAAGACCCTCTCTCCTGTATACCATTCAATCTGGTTCTGGAAAAAGTAATATGTATGTAACAAATCGCAACCATTGGTTCAATAGCATTTTTTTCAGCAGTTTACAAACACTCACTCAAAAAACGACGATTAGGTAGGATTTTTTCCACTCAAAACTTTCGTAAATTCTATAATTCATGCTTCACTTCTGACTGAAGTTTTTCTTCTGGGGACATTGACTGTAATGTTAGTGATTTTCTAAATAGACTTGTATCTATTTTTAATAAAGCATTTCCTCTATTAAACATCAGGCCAAAACATAACAAACCTTGGATTACCAAAGGCATTCGCATATTTGCGAAAAATATGCGTTCTCTGCTATATATTAAAAAATTTAATGACAGTATCCCCATCTCTGATTATATCAACAAGTACAGAAAATGCTATATAAAACTACTCAAAGTAGCCAAAAAATCCTACTTTCATAATCGCTTAACAAGCTCCAAAAATATTTCAAAAGTAACTTGGTCAATAATAAACGATTTTCGAAATAAAACTAGTACAGCGGATCAAACCTTTTCTTTTCCTAACCCCGAAAATCTAAATGATTACTTTGTTAATGTGAGTAAAAATATAACCTTAACTATTTCGCCACAACAAGATCCAGTTTCCTATCTCTCTAATTCAAAAAACATTGCTGATACCTTCTTTTTAAGACCAGTTGATAAGACGGAACTCATTTCAACAATTCCTAGTATAAAAAGCACATCGTCCTGTAGTACAGATGGATTATCTATTAAAATTTTTCTCAAATCTACCGCATAATGTTTTGGAGGTCATGGTCTCGCTAGTAAATGATTCCCTTGAAAAAGGTACATTCCCTAACTGCCTAAAGACTGCCATCGTCATTCCTCTTCATAAAGGTGGAGAAAAATCTGATGCCTGCAACTATAGACCTATTGCCTTGTTACCAGCACCATCAAAAATTATTGAAAGACTTATAAAATTTCGACTTATGCCCTTTCTCCTTAAATATAATATTTTATCGCAAAATCAGTTCGGCTTTTTGTCTAATAAATGCACTAGTGATGCCATATTTTCTGTGTTACATGATGTATATCTATCACTAAACAGTTACCTCTCCTCCGCCACCGTTTTCTGCGACTATTCCAAAGCCTTTGACTGCGTAAATCACGACATTGTATTAAAAAAATTAACTTTCTACGGAATTCGGGGTGTGTCTTTGAACTGGTTCAAAACTTACTTGGTAGGTAGGAAACAATTGGTTAGAATAAATGACACCGACTCTAGTTGTAAAGATATTGAGTGTGGAGTACCGCAAGGTTCAGTATTAGGTCCCATTCTTTTTTTACTTTTCATTAATGACATCACTTACTTGAAAATTAAAGGGAAAATTTTTCTATTTGCTGATGATACCAGTATTACTTGGAGCAGCTCTGATATTTCAACGCTTCATTCAATTATAACCGATGATTTACTTATAATCAAGGCTTGGTCAGACTCCAACTTACTTAGCTTTAACGTGGATAAGACTGTAGCATTATCTTATAAAGGAGTCATGCAACCCTTGCTTTTGAATGAGAGCCAAATCAATATCGTAAATTCCGTGAAATTTCTAGGTATTCTCATTGACAGTGATCTCAAATGGTCCTTGCATACTGACTCCTTAAGGAAGAAACTAGCCTCAGCTTGCTTTGCAATAAGATCTGTTTCGAAGGAACTAAATTTATCTTCTGCCAAAATGGCATATTTCTCATTGTTCGAGTCCCATCTTCAATATGGGCTTCCATTTTGGGTTCTAGTACAGCGGCCCAATTTGATACTATTTTTAAGTTGCAAAAAAGAGCAATCCGTTATCTATTTGGTCTCAAACAAACAACTCATTGCAAGACCTACTTCAAAAATCACGGAATTTTGACGCTTCCCTCTTTATTTATTTTGGAAACGGTTTGTTTGATTCGAAAGCATCTAAACATTTTTCCCGATAGACCTGACCATGGCTACTCCATTAGAAATTCGGATTGTAACGTTTATTTGCCGATCCCGTCCACTCAGCTAGTAAAGAATTCTATTCTATATCGTGCAAAGAAACTTTATAATCACCTTCCAAGAGAAATTAAATCCGCAACATCCTTCACACTGAAAATAATACTACCTCAGAGATAAACCGCAGAATTTACACAGTCAACAGATACTATTTTGGGCTCAATCTCCTCCTTAAGTCCATAATTATATCGAGAAGTACAAAAATAAAAGACAATATTACGTCCAGTACTAACATGTGTTTCAGAGACTTGTAATCTAATAAAAAGTAATGAAAACCTTTTAAGATGTTTCGGAAGAAACATCTTAACAGGTTTTTAATAGGTGTTTAACATATAGAATATCCCAGGAACCTGATATCGTAAAACATATTAAGATAGAACGTCTGAGGTAAATAGGGCATCTAATGATGGAACAAAATGACCCAGCTTGAAAAACGCTGCTTAATAGACCCATGGGGCAGAGAAGAAGAGGCAAGGTTCCTTGATAACATCAATGAAGACATGAGAAATATAAAAATACGTGCTTGGCGCAGAAAAAAGATGGATAGGGACGACTGGAGAGAAATTCTTGAGAAGGCTAGGACCCACGCATAGTTGTAAAGCCAGAGTGATAATGATGACAAGACACTTAGGAACACCATTCAATATAGAATAACTTTAAGATAACATGAATATGTAAAAAAATGGGAAACGTTCAGATGTTAATGATATATCCATTGAAGCTTTTTGGAAAAAATAGCCAAAAACTATACAATATATAAAAGTTGCAAAATCTCAAAACTCCTGGAGAAAATTAATAATCCAAAGAGGACCTGATCTGATCTTTTTTGCCAAGAAATATTATCATAGTTAATGTAATTTATATAATTTTTGTAAGTGTTTTTCTTATTAAGTAAAACTAATGATTAAATGTAAAATCACTATGGAACTGTATTTTCATTCTTACCAACCAAACTTTAAGCATTCGTTGTTCAATACGTCGTTTAAAATCCAAAATCATTGCTTTACTCCAGTAGAATACTCTACTGTATCCAAATTGACCCAATTATAGCACCTACTGTACGACAATATTCCCAATTCATTCAAATATTAATACATGCACTTAAATGTAAATACCGATATGAATTCGTTGATGGTAGATTATCAAACATTCCATTATTAGGAGATATGGTAGCACTCAACATAAAGTGCTCCTAAAAATTTCCCCCCAAATAAATATTTACAAACACTTGTTTTTAATGCTTCTAATAATAAAAAATAGTATTCAAAATGTTGTCGAATTTCGTTGTTTGTGAAATGTATTTGATTATTTATTCATATTTATTAGCTTTGTTCGAAAAATAGAAAAGTAATAAACAGAATAATAACAGCTATATTTAAAGGGAGTAGAAAACCCATTAATTAATAACACAAATAAACATAATAGTAGATCAATGAATAGATTATGTAAGAGAACTTTAAAATGGTATTACTATTATGCTCATAGAATAGAAATTGATGGCATCAGTATTGAACAAGTAATGGAAAATAAAATACCTGGGAATTACACAGTCCAGCTATGAAGTATTTGGCAGAAGCGGACCCAGACGCCGTCGTATCTCGTGGTTGAAAAATCTCCGACAATGGTTTGGGATGACCTCAGCGGAGCTGTTTCGCAGAGCAGTCAACAAAACCATGATAGCCTTGATGATCGCCAATATCCGGACCGGATAAGGCACTGAAGAAGAAGAAGCTGTGAAGACCTGGACAAAGAAGTGAGAGAGCAAGTACAAAAAGCAAACAGACTGGCAGGATGCCTTAATAACTAATCCTCAGTCCTAATCCCTTATGGGATGTGGTGACACCATCAGACAGTTTTTTCACGATTTCTCTCTATTCTTCCCTGTCCTGGGCTAGTTGTTTAGCTTCATGTAACGCTTGGTTAATCTATATTTTTGTTCGATCTACCCAACAGCTTGGAGATCTTCCCCTGGGTCTCTTTCCTTCAACTGTACCCTCGACTATCAGTTTTTCCATCTTGCCTATTCTTCTAGCAATGTATACAAAATACTGCAGATATCTCTGTTGTGTTTGTATCAATGCAAAGAAAAAATCAGGCATATAGAAGACTCCAAGGGGGAAGAACGAGACAAACAGAGGAAGAGTATAGGCAGCTGAGACGAGAAGAAAAACGAATACTTAAAAAAAGAAGAAAGAGCAAATAGAGAGCTAACTAAAAGAACTATAAGGTACAAGCAGAAATACGAACGTTCTAGAAGAGGATTAACCAGAACAGGAAAGAAATCAAACCTAGATTATCAATCGTTAGAAATAGAACAGGGGAGATCATTGGTGATCAGGACCAGATACTAGAAAGATAGGCGGAAAACAGAGATGATGATGATGATTTGAA